ATACAGCGAGACAGCGCGAAACTCATCCTGAGCACACACACACACACACACACACACACACACACACACAACACACACACACACACACACACACACGCACACACACACCACACACACACACACACCACACACCACACACACACACACACACACACACAGCCGAAGTGAAAACAATAAGTGTGGCTTGATATTGAGAAAGAAAAAGGTTTGTAACGCTGTGAGAATGGGTCTGCGGAGAGCATTTCTCCACCATCCCAACTCGTCTGTTACCAACCAGGGAGCTCTATGCAAGTCAATGGGGACTCCTTGTTAGTTAGCCAAGGCATCCTGGCGTGTGAGGGGCTCCGCGGATTGGTCCATTTGGGCCAATCCGGTCATTTGTTGTTGATCTGGGTGTTCACACGTCACAGAACCCAGGAAGCAAACAATGGAGAATGAGAAATGTCCATCGAGGCGTTCTGGGGCAGCAGACAGGTCTTCTCTGTGTTAGAGTTTTACTCGCTACAGGGTGTACTTTGAGGGTTTGTGACTCTGCAGACCGTTTACATGCAGAACAACCTTCATAACACAAGGGGACGGGTGATAACCGGAAAAGCATGACATGAGACCTTTAGGTCAAAGACTCATTTTGAGTTGAATCTCAGATATTTGGTTTTTAAGCTGCTGTGGTATTTGTGAAAGAGGGATCATCTTGTTTTAAGAAATACATCTAAACTGATTTTATAAAACACCATTTTAATGGAAAATGTCTAAAACAGAAACATTTTTAGCATTTCTGGCTTATTTTGTAACAGAACATTAACTAATTCTGCTAAAATATAGTTCAAAATAAGTTCTCCAAGCTAATAACAAGATTTAATGTATCTAAATATCCCATCTAACTGAGCTAATGGGCAGATTGCACTTCTTACAAGCGAAAACACCTTGTTTCCTTATTTGTTCCAATGTACCGTGTTTACTCGTCTAAATGAAAGCAGCTGAAAGCGCCACACTCCTTCCCTGCTGAGAATCACTTGTCTTCCTCTAAAACAAATCCTCACGTTGCTCAGTCAGCCGGGAGCTTTGACCCATATTGAGTAACAACACTCAGCATGAGTTATTTGCTGTTGACGTGTCCGTTTTCCACGTGAATACAGGTGGTGCTAAAAAAAGCGTCGGACACAAAGACGCTTGTCAATACCCGATACTCTCTTTTGTTGTTGGACTTTACGGAGCGGACGGATTTGACCTGGAGGAGCGGGTTCATCTGGGTCTGTAAACGGAGGGGGGGGGGGGGGGGGGATCACCCACTAACTGGTTGTAGGTTAATCAGTTTCCTTTGAAGAAGTTTACCTGTAAAAGTATGCTTCTGGGTATTGACGTAAACATGTACAGATACTCAGATAGACGGTCAAAGGACGGAGTGTGGGGATATTGTATAGATACTCAGTTTCAAGTAAAAATCCCTGCATTATTTATTTAATTATTTAAAACATGAGTAGCCTATTGGCTTTAAAAAACAGTTAGGTAAGATCTGCGATTAATTGATTTAAAGGTGGGGTAGGTAAGTTTGAGAAACCGGCTCGAGATACACTTGTTGTTATATTCCATGGAATGCTCTTAACATCCCGATAGCAATGAATATCTGAAGTGCTTTGACAAAAAATCCATAAAAATGTCATCTGTGGAAGTAACTGGATGGCCTACCTGCCTGTCAGCCTTCCATCTGTGCACAAATGTATCTCGTGCCCTCATTGGTCATGTGCGCGTTCGGAGGGGCTCTGTGAGGAAGTGGCAGATTTTATCCGGTTGTGTATTTTCAAATTCTAGCCCACTCGAGCTGGTTTCTCCAAAATTACCTACCCCACCTTTAAGAATATAGTATTTGTCATATTTTATTTCACTGTACTCCATTTCTTATATATTTATACTTTGTGTAAATATTGTATTTATTTGTAATCTTTACAATTGTCTTTAAAATAGTTTTCAATTTTTTTTTTAATAACGGTACTATTTTTTGCTCTTTTTATTCTTACCCCAAGCAAATTCCTCGTATGTCTAAAACCTACTTTTTCACATGGTTCTGATGTGAAAAAGACGTCATTTGAAAACATTTTTAGCTTGACAACATGTTTAACTGTAAAACTCTCAGTTACAAGTAAAAGTCCTGCATAACAAACCCGTATTTAAGTCAAAATACAAAAGCATCTTATTGTACTTAAAGTATAAAATTGCTGATTATGCAAAATTATAATATGCTTTATAAACCAGCAGCAGTATTTATAAATCAGTTCTTTGACAGACAGGAAGCCGGTGTGAAGACCTCAGAACTGGAGTGATGTGACGTTTGTACTCGCAGGTGTCTTCATCTTAATGCTTTATGCTGTATTGTTGTTGTTCTTATTGGAGTGCCTTCTTCTCTGCAGCCATAGATGCAGCAGCACGCTCTCAGGTGTAATGGAGAAGCTTCAGCTCAGTTACCTTTCCAAACTGTTGTTATGCTCATTAGCTCATTAGCTCATTCCCTAACAGGCTAATTTAACGAGCTACTTTAGTTACAACGAGACTGCAGTGGAGCCAACAACCTGTAGCATCGGCTTGGCTGTTTCTACTCTTCCATGTGAGTTCATATGCAAATCAATTATGTTTATAGGACAATGCTGAACATACGTCATTATTTTGTATCACTTTAAAGGTTAGAGTTTTTAACCCTCCTGTTGTCTTCGGGTCAAATCAGACCGATTCACTACTTTCATCAATCATACGTTTTTTGTTTTACATTCGATTGCATTAAGGCTCCATGATATCCTTCACAGTAGACTTTGAACATATCAAATTGCTGATCACACTTTCATTGAATCTTGGAGGATTTTGTCAACTTTGTAACACCATGGTGTTCCCGCTCAAAATGACCGCCATAAAGAAAAGGAATTAGTAACCATCCAGATCAGATAAAACACACACACACACACACACACACACACATACACACACACACACGCACACACACACACACACACACACACACACACACACACACACACACATACACATACAAACACAAAACAATTTGACACATTTCCCGCTCTTATGTGCCCCTCCCCCCACGTGGATCACACCTGGCACACGCAATACATGTTCAGTGTCTGTTCTTTGTATTTACTGCAGTTGTTCATGTGTACCAGTAGTCTGATACAATATGTACAGTTTGAAAGGGTGTTGAATGAAATTTGGTGATGATTAATGGTGTTTGTGTTAATGTAATAGCAGTTAAAACAGGACCAGTCAAATTAAGGTAAGGGGGGAACATGAAGACAATAGAAGGGTTAAGTTAAGGTGGATCAATTAGTGAACATGGAATAGAGTATTTATCCCTGTTTTCAATTAGTGTATAATCACCAGAAACGAGTGAATCACTGTTATTTTTTCACCCGCCATGCAGTCTTGCAAACTGTGACTTTCTCTTAAGATTTGGCAACTTTTCACATCCTCTTAGCAAGTTGTAAAGACTTATTGAAACCAACAGGGAAAGCAAGAGGTATATTATGGGATGCATTCCATGCTTTGGCGTATTCTAGTGACTTTTCTCAGCCTATGGATCTAGTCATCGCTACTTTCATTGAGACAAAGTTGGCGAAAAAACGCAATCATTTCAAACTACAGCCAATCACAATCCGTTATTGTTATTAGAAGCCTTGCAAAGATAACAAATGTGCATTTTACTTACATGGATTTTTTATCTGTACTTCCAGGTTGTAAAATAATAACTGAGAGTTGTATTTTCATCATTTCAATTGTGGCAAGACCATGCTTATTGTAGTTGTAAGTGCACTCCTTCCTTGATGGAGCATATGTGTGGGCTGGACCTGTATTTGACAGGAAAGGAGTGAGCAAACAATGGTGTAGCTGTATTAAAGTCCGAGTGGAAACAGTCAAGTAAATCTGATTTTGTCAGAAATGCGGGAGAAATATGACCCCGGGAGGAAACCGGGAGAGGGCTATGATATCGGGAGTCTCCCACGAAAATCGGGAGGGTTGGCAAGTGGGCAAGAGCTGCTACTTAACACGCTAAGCTTGACTGATTTAAACATACTGTGGTCCTTTGAATAGCTTCTTAAAAATCACTGGGTCTTATGCCTCGTTAAAAGCATGGTACGTGTGTAAAGAGGATCTTCTTCCCTCTCCGAGACCTTGAAACACCCTGACGTTGTTAAAGCACGGTGAACACAGGAGTCTCCTCTCAAGGAAAACACAACGCTGGGTTTTCTCGTGAGTCATGATGTATTCTGGCTCACATTTATGCTGAGCTGTGCTTTACTGCTCCAGCTTTCTAATTCTTCTTGTCCTCTTTTTTCTTTTTATTGTGGTCCCTTTTCAGAGCGGTCGAAATAAAATGAACTGGAAAATGAATTTACATTTTAGTTATTCAATTGATTGTGAACTGCCACTGTTGCAAGTAGCTCGTTTTTAGTATTTACCTAATTATTTAAAGATGTTCTTACTGTGTGGCTTGAAAAAGAAAAGTTAGGACTTTGTAGTTTATGAACACCATATAAGACACACAATCTAATTGCAAGTGTTACTTTAATAGGCCTGTACGTTTTATTCTTTGGAAATGAACACTGTACAGTTTTAGTTTGGTGATTAAGTGTTGTGTTTAGTGCGAGATGGGGAGGTAATGTGTGGGCCGGGGGTTCAGTTTAATTGAGTGAGATGTGCAGCCATCCTCCCTGCTGCCCTCAGAGAAATGGAGAGGGACAGAGCCGCCTATCTGGCTCTGTATTAATCAGCTGCATCTCGCTGGTCAGTGAACTGTAGTTCATTAGTCTGCTGGAAGAAAGAATGAGTGAGCTGACACGGAGAGAGGGAGAGGAGCAGAGGACGCAAAATAATATTTTTCTTAATGTTCCAGCTGATAGTTTTAAGACAAGGGGAAGTTGAAAAGGTAAAATGCAGACTAATAACTAAAAATGCACCAGCTTTTCCCCCCCGAGTCATTCCTGTCTTTCCTCTCCTTTCAGGTGAATGTTGACGACACCATTGAAATGTTACCAAAATCAAGAAGAGCTCTGACCATTCAAGAGATCGCTGCGTTAGCGCGGTCCTCCCTGCATGGTGAGTATGGTAAAAGTAGAAGTACTCAGATATTGTACTTGAGTAAAAGTAGAAGTAGTCAGACCTTGTACTTGAGTAAAAGTAGAAGTACTCAGATCCTGTACTTGAGTAAAAGTAGAAGTACTCAGATCTTGTACTTGAGTAAAAGTAGAAGTACTCAGATCTTGTACTTGAGTAAAAGTAGAAGTACTCAGGTCTTGTACTTGAGTAAAAGTAGAAGTACTCAGGTCTTGTACTTGAGTAAAAGTAGAAGTACTCAGATCTTGTACTTGAGTAAAAGTAGAAGTACTCAGATCTTGTACTTGAGTAAAAGTAGAAGTACTCAGATATTGTACTTGAGTAAAAGTAGAAGTAGTCAGACCTTGTACTTGAGTAAAAGTAGAAGTACTCTGATCTTGTACTTGAGTAAAAGTAGAAGTACTCAGATCCTGTACTTGAGTAAAAGTAGAAGTACTCAGATCTTGTACTTGAGTAAAAGTAGAAGTACTCAGATCTTGTACTTGAGTAAAAGTAGAAGTACTCAGATCTTGTACTTGAGTAAAAGTAGAAGTACTCAGATCTTGTACTTGAGTGAAAGTAGAAGTACTCAGATCTTGTACTTGAGTAAAAGTAGAAGTACCAGAGTGTAGGAATACTCTGTTACAGTAAAAGTCCTGCATTCAAAATGTTCCTCAAGTAAAAGTAGAAAAGTATTATCATCAAAATATAGTGAAAGACAGTAAAAGTAGTCGTTGTGCAGATTGGTCCATTTCAGAATAATATATATGATATGTTTTATAATGATTGATCATGAAAGTGTTCTCAAAGCTGGTAAAGGTGCAGCTAGTCTGAATGACTTTGTATACTGCAGGGTAGCTGGTGGATTTACTCCAGGTGGAACTAAAGTCTGATTCAAACACTTGGTTATATTTCACATCATTCATCCACATCTGTGAAGTAACTAAAGGGATTAAATACATGTAGTGGAGTAGAAGTACAGTACTTGAGTAAATCTACTTTACACCTCATGCTCTTTCTCTGCAGGTATCTCCCAGGTAATGAAGGATCATGTGACAAAGCCTACAGCCATGGCTCAGGGCCGAGTCGCCCACCTGATCGAGTGGAAAGGGTGGTCTAGACCCATCGACACCCCCGCTCCAGCGTCAGATCTAAACAGATCCTACTCTGCCCTCACAGAGGGAGAGCAGGAGGCACGCTTTGCAGCCGGTGAGACTCCTTCTGTTTGTGCTCCTTGTTTATTCAGTAAATATCACCTTTAACAAACACCTTGCTTTGCTATTGTTTGAAAAATATCACTGGTCTCCGGCTTGAACTTCAACCTCAGGATCCATGTATTTGTGATCTTCTCTGGATGGAAGTAGTGATCACATACAGAGCATCAACTAGTTCCTGAACAGTGTCCTTCACATGCTGATATCCAAGAGAGGGAGTTACACAGTCACAAGATGGAGGAATAGAAAGCAGTATTCAATGTTTACTTCAGATTAGCTCCACGTCAGAAATGAGCATGCTTGATGTCTCTCTCCATAGAGGCTGAATCATCATGTTAATCACATAGCTATCATATGCCTCAAACAGTCCTGGTGCTCTTCTAGGTAATCACACATCCTGCCATGTTCACAGCTACAGTTGATACCTTTGTTATCACGTTACTCTCATGTTGGAAGAGGACGTTCAGTATTTTCACAACAGCTGTACTCCAAGTTTAAGCTATGGCAAGAGGGGTTAGGAAAATGTGCCAAAATAATGATTAATAATCACAGAAGGGATCCCAATTAATGAGAAACCATTGTAACAAATAGGTAATCAGATTAAAAATAAAAGCAGATTAGTCGTTTTATAATAGCTTCGAACAAACAAGGCTATTTTGCATACAACTTTAATATGTCCCCACTTTAAAACACTGTTGCTGTTGCTACACCAAATGACGTTCATGGATCAACGGAAGAGGTGACTCACACACTAAGGGCAGGAAGGCTTATGGTAATGTGAAAAACAATGATAAAACATCCTGCAAGTACGTTTTTAAAAAGCCAAACTATTTTAAGTGATGGTGCATTAGCTTCAAGTAGAGCGGTGCAGGGATGACGTATTTTTTTTTAACTGACCCTGAAGGCAGCATCTCCCATTGGTTCCCAAAGAACCAGTGGGATTTTAGATTTTTGCAGAAACCAAACTCTGTGACGTTTATGATACTTTCCCGTTTTGTTCTGCAGGATAATCTCCACATATTAACAGCACTTTATGATTTCTGAAGTAAAATGCTAACTTTAGGCTGTAAAGGAACTACAGCACGGTCACATGACTTCACGTCACCATCGCTAAGCTAAAGGTGGCTAATGTTGGGCTATAAAGGAACTACAGCGGGGTCACATGACTTCACATCACCACCGCTAAGCTAAAGGTGGCTAATGTTGGGCTATAAAGGAACTACGGCACGGTCACATGACTTCATGTGACCACCGCTAAGCTAAAGGTGGCTAATGTTGGGCTATAAAGTAACTACAGCGCGGTCACATGACTTCACGTCACCACCGCTAAGCTAAAGGTGGCTAACGTTGGGCTATAAAGGAACTAAAGCACGTTCACATGACTTCACGTCACCACCGCTAAGCTAAAGGTGGCTAATGTTGGGCTATAAAGGAACTACAGCATGGTCACATGACTTCACGTAACCACCGCTAAGCTAAAGGTGGCTAATGTTGGGCTATAAAGTAACTACAGCGCGGTCACATGACTTCACGTCACCACCGCTAAGCTAAAGGTGGCTAATGTTGGGCTATAAAGGAACTACGGCACGGTCACATGCCTTCACGTCACCGCCGCTAAGCTAAAGGTGGCTAATGTTGGGCTATAAAGGAACTACAGCATGGTCACATGACTTCACGTAACCACCGCTAAGCTAAAGGTGGCTAATGTTGGGCTATAAAGTAACTACAGCGCGGTCACATGACTTCACGTCACCACCGCTAAGCTAAGGTGGCTAATGTTGGGCTATAAAGGAACTACGGCACGGTCACATGACTTCACGTCACCCGCCGCTAAGCTAAAGGTGGCTAATGTTGGGCTATAAAGGAACTACGGCACGGTCACATGACTTCACCTCACCACCGCTAAGCTAAAGGTGGCTAATGTTGGGCTATAAAGTAACTACGGCGCGGTCACATGACTTCACGTCACCACCGCTAAGCTAAAGGTGGCTAATGTTGGGCTATAAAGGAACTAAAGCACGTTCACATGACTTCACGTCACCACCGCTAAGCTAAAGGTGGCTAATGTTGCGCTATAAAGGAACTACAGCACGGTCACATGACTTCACGTAACCACCGCTAAGCTAAAGGTGGCTAATGTTGGGCTATAAAGTAACTACAGCGCGGTCACATGACTTCACGTCACCACCGCTAAGCTAAAGGTGGCTAATGTTGGGCTATAAAGGAACTACAGTGCGGTCACATGACTTCACGTCACCACCGCTAAGCTAAAGGCGGCTAATGTTGACGTTTAGTCGTCTCATTTAGACACTTGTTAGCAACCACCGTTTTAAAATCTATCAGTGGGGTATTTACTGACGTATTTCATGTCATATAACACAACGTTATAGTCTTTTGTTAACCACAGACCTTATTTCACGCTTTTAACCAAAAACACATTTTTAAAATAACACTTACTTCAAGACACAGGAACAGGAAGTGCTGAATAATGTCCTGGTTTAAGACTGATACCTCCAACCATCTATAAGCCAAACATTGAAGAGTGCTTCATACACATTTAAAACAAATGTCAACACAGGTGTTTTTTTGGCAGAAGACTGTGTGTAGACTTTCTGCAATCTTAAATAGTGAGCTTGTCCCAGACTTTTGAAGCGATGATAACAACGATTTTGTTGGAGGACAGCTGTCTTTTTTAGTTGACATCAGATGATATATTAATTATTCAGGTTTAAATGTTCCACACATCCTCTCAGAGTCCCACACACACACACACACACCTCCTCTTATCTTTCCCTTACTCACCTCATCTTTAACATTCACTCCCGTCCAATTCCCTCTTCATCCCATTCACACTGTCTTTAAACGCTCCTCTCTGCCCTCTCTCTCTCCCTTTTTCTCTCCTCCTGCTCTCCCTCCGTTCTCCCTGCAATGCAGACTCTCAAGGTTAATTTGCACAGTAAGGTTTTACTCCTGGCTTCTGCCACCATGACTGAGCGATTTCCCTGCATGCTTCCTCTGTTCCCCTTTCTCTTTCATTTCCTACATGACTTCTCGTCTGTTCTCATGCCCTCAAAAAAGGCATCAATTAAGAGTTTTCGGTGGGTAGGAAAGTTCACATTTCTTTGCTCAACCATGACTTATTATATTCCTTATATAGTTTCAAACAGCTCTATAAACAGGCTTTTTTAGAACAGTTTGAACCTGGCCATTGCATGAAATACGGTGAAGCTTTTAGGGATTTTAGAAAAGAAATGAAGAGTTTATTCAATGGAGTTTTTTATACTTGCTTCCTTCGCTAGACCTGTTTTTGAATTGTCGCTCTTCTTGGTCACATGACTCTGTTAGCGTGTATCTTATAGAGCTGGATGACATAGAGCAGGGGGGTCAAACTCAATTTCATCTCGGGCCACTTTAGCATCATGGTTGCATTCAAAGGGCCAGTTTTATATATAAGACTATATAAAAAAATACATATATAAATATTTAATATATATAAATTAATGATATTACATTATTGCCTCTGCGTTGGATTATTATCTGATAGGGTAATAACTTCATAATTAGCTGTGTCTGAAAGCAGAGGTCTAGGGCAAATTTGAGATGCATTGTGGGGACATGTAGTTTATGGGCAACGAGCTTCTGTAAAGCAATCATGTAACCGTATAATAAACATATTATATTCTTTGCAAGCTCTTGCGGGGGCCGCAATGAAGTGAAGTCACAGGCCGGATTTGGCCCCCGGGCCTTGAGTTTGAGACCCCTGACCATTGGTGTCTTTTCTCAAAATACTTAAACAATGAGCCTTTTAATAAATAATCATAAGTTTCATAAGTTATTAAATGGGTAAAGGTTAATAATAAGGTCATGTCAGCTTTTTAAAACCAGGAAAAGACACGTATTCCTTAAGACAATATTGAAAACTATATCTAGTTTCATTAAGAATTGCACAATTTTGAAAAACAAAGTAAATGTGATTTAAATAAGTAAGTAAATAAAAAACAAAATAAACAAAGATGAATATTTTTGACTGATATTGCGAAATGATTCACGATATTACCAAACAAATACTTTTTATAAAGTCTGTAAAATACCAGGGTCTTCAATCCAGCATAATATTCAGATGTTTCCATATATTATACCAAAAACATTGCACTCATTGCATTTTGGATATTGGACTGGTCCGTATTCTGATTTCACTAAAGTCTCCATTGTGCAGCCCCTATATCGACATATGTGTCTCAGCCCTGATATCTGAGGGAGGGAGGCTGTGGCAGTGGACGAGTGTGTTGGTGTTCGGATCAGGGGGTCACAGGTTCAAACCCCACTGCAGTCAGCATGTCGTTGTGTCCCTGAGACACTTCACCCCAAAGTGCTCCTGTGGGGATTGCCCACAGTATTGAGTATGTGAGTCGCTTTGGATAAAAGCGTCTAATAAGTAACATGTAATGTGATGTAATGAAACCCAGCTAACATCTCTCTGGTCTTAGCCACATTCAGAAGCAGATAATTTGTTAATAATGATTAAAATAATATAGTTTTAGCAAGCATTGCTTTATTGTAAATGGCACATGAACAGAATCCAACCCGTAGCAAGAAAATCTGAAGCTCTGCACCGTTTCTTTGTTTTACCTACCCAGACATTTCTATACAATACACTTCTCCTTGTCTCTTCAGATGACATCATCCATTACACCAGTTGTGCTGACTCTCCTTGTATCGCGGGGACTGTGTGAATGTCAGCGAGCATGTTAGTACAGAGAGTGAGAGTGTGTGACTGTGGGAAAAAAAAGAGTGTGTGTTTGTGTAGGAGGCATCACGAGTATTGAAAAAAGGCAGGTGGGGTTGTCCTATTGATGTAATGCCTCCTGCCAAAAACACACACACACACACACACACACACACACACACACACACACACACACACACACACACACACACACACACACACACACACACACAAATGCATACACACAGTTTGAAGGTAATCCAGCAGTGTCTCTCCGTTGTGCATACAACTGGCTGCCAGCCTATTCTGACAGAGAGGTGTGTGTGTGTGTGTGTGTGTGTGTGTGTGTGTGTGTGTGTGTGTGTGTGTTACACTGGTATCTTCAATCTCAATGTGTCCTAACTTCAGATTATATGTCTAGCACATGTTATGCAGTTTTAATTCTTATATCTAATGAATCAAGTATTTGAACCTATCATCTTTTGCGTATAGTGTCAAACGCTCATCCAGTACATGTGTAGAGGTATGTGTAAGTGTGTGTCACAGCATCTTCGTATTAGGTTTGATTGATTTCCCCCTCTCCACTCCCAGCTCAGCTTTCACTTAGTAAAGTTGTTTGTGACATTTGTTCGTTCTTGCTACAGCGTAGAAAAGTGCTTAAATCCCAAGATACCAAGCTCATATCGAGTCAAACCTTGCATCATGCCTTCTGTTTTAATTTCCCCACAACATAACACTTAGTTTCCTCTATTTGTCCGTAGAGAAACTGGGTCACCTCCTTGTTGCTGGGTATGTGGGTCAGTGGCATAACAAAGTATGAATGCAGTGAAAGGCTTTTAAAAAGATAACTAAAGAACATGGTGTTTGCAGCGTGTTCAAGGAGAGCTGAGATACAGTGGGAGATAAATGAGAGCATCGATCTCTCCGTGGGAGATGAATACTGAGCATCGACCAGAGAGAGAGAGAGATAGAAATCAAGATGAGATGTGAGCGACAGAAAGATTGCAGGGGTAAAGGAAAGTGAACGGGAGGAATGAGGGGAGTCAGGTGAGTCGATGGAGCGTCTCATTGAGAGAGACGATTGGAAGAAAAAGGCAGGACATGAATGAGAGAGGAGGAACAGGAGAGAATACCAAACAGGTGGATGAGTGGAGGACAAGAGAAGAAGAGAAAAGGGAGGCTCGATCTCTGATTGGCCGGCTCCTGATGGTGATCGAAGGTGATTGGTCACTTGGACCTTGTGAATTATGGAGCGATGCAGTGGTGACGTATTTATGTAAACGTTAGCATTGCAAGGGCTCCCTCGACTAAAAGCCAATGGGATTATTTTATTAGACTTTAGATTAACACAGAATATTTGAATTGAGACAAAAAAAACTTTTATATTTACACATTTTGTTCAGTGGGATAATCTCCACGTATTAACAACAATGATTTTTGAAGTAAAAACTGAGGTTAGGCTATAAAGGAACTACAGCTCGGTCACATGACTTCACTTCACCACCGCTAAGCTAAAGGCGGCTAATGTTGGGCTATAAAGGAACTACAGCACGGTCACATGACTTCACGTCACCACCGCTAAGCTAAAGGTGGCTAATGTTGGGCTATAAAGGAACTACAGCACGGTCACATGACTTCACGTCACCACCGCTAAGCTAAAGGAGTCTAATGTTGGGCTATAAAGGAACTACAGCACGGTCACATGACTTCACGTCTCCACCACTAAGCTAAAGGCTGCTAATGTTGGGAATTATGCGTTTGTTAGTCTCTTTTGTCACCTGCTATCAAGCTGGAATATCCTCTCAGTGGCCTCTAATGTGTTTACTTGTATCTGCACATTAATAAACATTGATTTAATTTCGGCAGAATTAGCATTGAGGTTATTTCTAAGCAATTGAGCAAATGTATGTCTTGCCCCCTTGCAGAGTTTCCTTACTACTTTTTATATGAGAAACCCATCCATCCATCCATCCATCTTCTCCCGCTTATCCGTGGTCGGGTCTCGGGGGTAGCAGTTCCAGCAGAGAGCCCCAAACTTTCTTTTCCCTGGCGACATCAACCAGCTCTGACTGGGGGATCCCAAGGCGCTCCCAGGCCAGCAAAGAGATATAATCCCTCCACCTGGTCCTAGGTCTACCCCTTGGTCTCTTCCCAGCTGGACGTGCCTGGAACACCCCCCTAGGGAGGCGCCCAGGTGGCATCCTAACTAGGTGCCCGAACCACCTTAACTGGCTCCTTTCGACGCGAAGGAGGAGCGGCTCAACTCCGAGTCCCTCCCTGATGACCGAATTTCTCACCTTATCCCTAAGGGAGACACCAGCCACCCTGCGGAGAAAACCCATCTCGGCCGCTTGTATCCGCGATCTCGTTCTTTCGGTCATGACATCAGCTAAATCTTTATCGAGGCAGAGCATTGTTACATACTGAAAAACATGCCTGGAGATGGATTTCAAGTATTCTCCTGAAGATGATGTTTGTGCTTTTCTATATAATCTTCTGCGCTGGAAGAAAGGCACCAACACACAACGCTCACATCGCTTAGGGCCATCTTAAGTGCACCGGCCAAACGACCTCCGAAGAATCACAGCATGCACTTGGTTCCTCGCTCACACCTGTCAATCAAACACACACACATGACATCAGGACACAATGTTCCTGCCTCCTTGTTTCCATGCCTACCGTGTATTTCTGTGTGCACTTTACGTGTATATTTATGTGTTTGCATGTCATTTATTTCCCCTCGCACACATATAAGACTAAGGAAGAGCATCTTATTAAGGGTAATTCAACGTAAACATAAATCTTACAATGTGCGGTTCGCAGAGGTCCACATGTTGGAGATTTAGATAATAACTTCAAATAAATATGTCTTTATCTGTGTGTGTATTAAAATATGTCAAAGCTTAAAACACTAAATATTCTTAGGGACTTTTAAACAAGTCACTCTAGTTTGAAATGCATTCAATTTGATCCATTGTTTTCCATTTAATAGATTAAACCCATTTTTAGACTGATTAATAAATGTTTTGGGACCTTTGAGGGTTAGATTCGTTTTAGGGTAGCTCCAACTAGATGTGTTATATATCTTTACGTTAAGTGTCTCTATTCTCAAGCTTCGGATAGATTATCAGGATGTATTCCAATATTGTGATATGACACTAGGGCTGCACAATTAATAGAAACTTTATACAAATCACAACATGGACCAATATCCAAATCCTTGTAAGTTCAATATTTGGTACAAACATGGCAAAATATGTGAAAAAAACTTGAATGTGGGCTGTGAACGGTTTGGTACAGATCCTCTGATCACATAAAACATGATCCCATTATGTCTTTCGAGTACAATTAAATCAACCTGTTTGTGTTTAAACATGTGTGTGTGTGTGTTTTTGTGCACAGGTGTGGCAGAGCAGTTTGCCATAGCAGAGGCGAAGCTGAGAGCCTGGTCCTCTGTGGACGGAGACGAGTCCAACGACGACTCGTACGACGAGGACTTCTTGCCTAACAACGAGCCCAGCACACAGAGCACAGGTACACACAACACAACACACCACACACACACACACACAACACACACACACACACACACACACACACACACACACACACACACACACAGATTATTCAGGTATTTATTTTCCAGATTAATCGATTAGTTGCTGTCAAAAAAATGTAGAGCAGTTCTTTTTTGATCTTCAATTTATTTCACAGCCTTTCTCCCCTCTCCCTCCCTTTCTCTCTCCCTTTCTCCCCTCTCCCTCCCTTTATCTCCCCCTCTCCCTCCCTTTCTCCCTCCCTTTATCTCCCCTCTCTCTCCCTTTATCTCCCCCCTCTCCCTCCCCCCCCCCCTCATTGTCCCAGTGCCCTAGTTTTCATCCTCTCCCGACATCTTTTTTTTGTTCCTCAGCGCAATCTGATATCCCTCCTGCAACTTTAATATAATTTCCTTTTGCTTGCAGAGACAGTGTCCGTGTGAGGGAGGGTGTGTGAGCGGGTTATAAATACACACTGTGTGTGTGTGTGTGTGTGTGTGTGTGTGTGTGTGTGGTGTGTGTGTGTGTGTGTGTGTGTGTGTGTGTGTGTGTGTGTGTGTGTGTGTGTGTGTACCTTTTAGCATTCATCTTGATTACAGTGAACCACCTTAGCCAGTACGATCTGCAGCTACTAACAAGCAGCTCTGTCTCTGTATACATATATATATATTAGGGCTGTCAAACGATTCAAATTTGTAATCAGATTAATCACAGCTTTAAAATGTATTAATCATGATTAATCACCATTCGAACTATGTCCAAAATATGCCATTTATTTATGTATATTGTTGTGGGAATGGAAAGATAAATGAAAGAAGGCGGATATATCCATTTAACATACAGTATCTATGTTTATTAAAACATTTTTCTGCGTGTCAAAATGAAAGACAACCCACACATCTATCAATCATCAAACCGTGGGGTCTTAATTCATTACGTGTTGATTTCTATCAACGACGGAGTACTTCAGCAAAGTCGACGGGGGGGGGGGGCGGCTAGTGGAGTACTTCGTGACCACAGAGTGTGAACGTTGTGATCAGCTGTTTTAGCGCAGTTCTCCAGTGAAGGGGGGGAATCTCCCTCCGCAGCCGGTTGGCGTAGTTTTGGCACAATTCCGTTGTACAGACCGACGTTAACAGCAGCCCTGTCTGTGCACACGGAGAGCGACTCTGTCGTCCGGTGATCTAACCGCCTTCTGGAAAAGCTTCACAAGTACGTCGGTACGCAAATGCGCTTTGTGACTCAAGTGACGGTACGCATTTCAGAGAGATTACGCACATAACCTGCGTACCAGTTATGTGCACCCCGTACTACAGCAAAAATATTCTCCGTCGGGACTTCCTGCAACAACACCACGCCGTTATCAAAGATGTTCTATTGAGAAGACGATCACTACGTGACAAAAGTTTTCAAAACCGTGGCTGCTGAAATCAATCTTACTAACAGCTGTCTGTAAAATTTACTCCGCGCGAGTTGGCAGACTTTATTTCGCTTACTTTAACATCATTTGTCATGGTGGGGCTAAGCCATTTATTGGTATGGGTGTAGCCTGCCCCAGCCATACAATGGCGCTGCCACTGGTGGCACGTATGGGGCGGACCATTCTGCACATGCGTTAAATGCGTTAAATATTTTAACGCAATTAATTCAAAAAATTAATTACCGCCGTTAACGCGATAATTTTGACAGCACTCATATATATACACATCTATGGATTCTTCTTGCAGGACTCGCACACAAACAAGCATTACATTATCTTAACAGTGGTTGGAAAGTAATTAAGTACATTTACTCATTGCTGTACTTATGTAAACATGTGAGGTACTTGTAATGTGCTTTCTTTATAATTTCTACAATTTGAAGAGAGAAACTGTTCTTTGTACAGCTTTAGTTTCTAGTTACCGGTTCCTTATAAAACCAGTCTTTGACGCACACAAATACTGAAGTATTGTTAAATATTATGTTTTTTGATGAAGATTAAACTTCCCAACATTATATTCAGGACTACCTGAGACAATTAGTGAGATAACACAAAACTAATTGGCAGCAATTTTGCAAATGTTTTACCTAGTTTTGATGTCAAATAATTTTCTTATCAACATATTTGCTGATGTTAATATTGGAAAGATGAAATTAGTACATTTTCCCTCAAACATAAACATGGTGTGTTTTGTAATGATACCTAAGTTAAAGTCGTTTTCTTTATGTTAATTTAAAATACTTTAGTTTGAAATAATGAAATGCAAAATATCTGTCTATCGGTATCAGCACTTTGTAATCTGCTAAAATGAGAAACATACAGGAAATATAACGAATTGTTTGCAGTATTTTACGATACAATTATGCTGGCTTTAATTGTAATATACACAACAATGTAAATAACAATTTAGCTATTGGTCATTCATTCATTGTGTTTTCTCTTTATTGCTGTGTTTGTTCTTCAGTCATGCTCACAGTGTGTGTGTGTTTCCTGCAGACCTGTCCTCGTATCCTCCCTACCTGAAGGACCTGATCCACAACCAGCTTTGCCAGCACCTGAGTCTGAGAGGAGGAGGAGGAGGAGGAGGAGGGGAGGAGGAGGAGGAGGAGGAGGAGGAGGATGGAGGAGGAGGAGGAGGAGGAGGAGGAGGAGGAGGAGGTGGAGGTGGAGGAATGTGGTAGTGGTGGGAGGAGGAGGAGGAGGAGAAGGAGGAGGAAGTGGAGGAGGAGGAGAAGGAAAGTGGAGACCCCTCCCCCACCGCTGGCTCCCCAGACACCCTGTGCTCCAGCATTCTGCAGTTCTGGCACGACCATCTTCCTCTTCTGAGAGACCCTGAATGGCGGCCATCGAGGAATACTACAGCAGCGCCGCCGAGCTCGCCGCCCACAAATCCTGTCCGCGCTGCAGGGGGGGGAGGAGCTTCTGCTGGCACGCCTCCAGAGAGCAGGAAATGGAGGAGGAGGAGGAGAGAGGAGGAATAGGCCATGTGGAGGTCAGGGTTCTCCGTGTTACTCCATGTCTACTCCGAGACGTACCTTCCACCGGGGAGGACGACGACGACGGACCACCACCTGCAAGGACTATGAAAACACCGGGTGCCAGGTGGAGGGGGGAGGGAAATGGAGGAGAGGAAGAGGAGGTATTCCCCCCAGAATATGTGCCGCGCAGGAGGGTCTCTGACGTGGCGTCCTCCGGGGGTGGTGGTCTCTGGACGAGGGAGGAGGAGTTGGAGGAGGAAGAGGAGAGAGCAGGAGACGAGCAGTGCACTCCTTTCTCCCCCTCTTCAGAAGAATGTGTTGTTTTGTTGCCCCCCTTCTCCATCACAGTCTAGTTGCCAGCAGTGTTGATCAACCCCAAAGGGTTATGATGGAAATGTAGAGTGCGGGTCCCCAGCACGTAGAACCTGCCGGATGTTAACTTGCATTGTTGAGCGATTTACACGATTAGCATGAGTTGCAAGTTGATGCAATAATAAGCGTTTTGCACCACATTAGTTTTCAAATAGTTTTTTTTTTGACGATTTTGGACAATTTAGTTGTGGTTTTGGGAGTTATTGAGGATGTTTGAATCCATTTCTGGCATTTTCAGGATAACAAATGGCAGTCTGAAACCAGAAAGAGGCCATATCTGTTCTCCAGATGGGTCGATTTTTAAAGCTTTAGGGAATTCAAAACTGCCATTAAAGATCTTAAAAATGTCACAATAGATGTTTAGCTATTTTCTGCTTATTAATGCTACTTAACGCAACTTATAAAATGTCCAACATATGTTAGCATCCGGCACTTTCTCTGTGCTTTAGGGCTGCAACAAACGACTCATTTGATAATCGATTAATGAAACGATTAATCGACTATTCGGACTATTACTGTATGCCTTGCACAATTTCTCAAACGCTCTTATTTAGCCATCAACTTTTAGATGTAGCTTGAGGTTGTTTTAGGCATGTGGAAACTAACAATGAAGACAATAAAGATGAATACTTGATTCAAAATACATGACATATATTTTTTAAATGTCTCCAGTACCGATAAAAAGACCAATAACGTTGGAGCTTAACGGCGCGTAAAACACAGGGTTATGACGTCACCAACGAATCGACGACTGAATTAGTAACTAATTTGGTCATCGATTTTAATAGTCGATCAGTTTGTTGCACCCCTACTGTGCTTCAAACCCGTACTAAACATTTCTAAACCTAACACTTTGGGTTACTCAACATTTCCAGGATCACAAAAGGACTCTATGTGACCTAGGCAACTAGACTATTTCGGCATCTGAAACGTTTGAAGCGCCTCGCATGCTGTCCCCCCCCTTTTCCTCTGACTGAAGCATCCGTCTTTGCCTTACTTGCAGCATTTCAAACTCCTCCTCCTCCTCCCCGCCCTCGCTTTGTCCCCATTCGATTGTACCGACTCCTATTTTCTTTAAAGGCGTCCAAACAATCTTTTTTTATCAGTGTGAGAACAGGAGTGCTGGACTTCAGAAAGACTCCGTCCCTTCCTGTGAAGCGACTCTTTAAAGAAACGGACGCCGCCACAGGCCGACAGAACGACAGAGTCCCAAAACTCTGACTTATATTTGCATGTGTTTTGCAAGTGCTAAAACCGATGGGGCTGACCTGGTCTTGAGCCCGGTTTGCAGTCCTCAGCTGTTCTGTACCCCCCCCCTCCCCCTCCCCTTTCTCCCCAGTATCCCTCTGGAGGGGAGCGTTGAACCTGCATCCCGGGATTTCCTCCCTCTCCTCCCCTCCCCCCTTTTCTCCTTTGCAAGAGACAAAATAGCATCCTTTCGGGCATGGCTTGCTAAGTATGCCAAACTATTTAACCCTGTCACTACCAATTATGAGCAAATGCTGGAATGTCTACAAAGTGACAGGGCATAGTATGTATTTTAAAATAACAAAAGTTTAAAAAGAAAAGATTTGTCACAAATGATATAACAGAAATGATATGCTTTTATTGTACTAGTTTTCTATCACTCTGACATGTTGTTGTTCACGTTATTCCAGACATCATTACGATGGACTTCTGCCGACTATAGCTTCTGGATATCTTTGGGGGTTTCCGTGGATTCCTTAAATGGGATAGTTTGGTTGTCTTGAAACAAACCCTGACAGATTGATCCTGAAGTGTAAGGGATGTTTGGCAGGAAGTGGCCGCAGTGGAAGAGACAGGAAGTCGTCTCTCTGCAGAGATGCATCGGAGATTTTTCTATATTTTTGTATGCGTTGTCTTGCTTTGATCTCTTTGCCTACGCGGCGTGCCAGTGTATGTGGTTTTTTGCACGAAGCTAATGTGGCCGTAGATTATTCTCCTTTTCTTCGTTATCACTGTGTGATATAGTTTACTGGGAAAAAAAATAACAAATGTGAATTTAATTTTTTATTTCAAAAGAGGATACTGTGATTTTGTTATTGCATTCTGTCATGGTCCTCCTGACGAGTGTTCTGGTTGTCTTTTCCTCTCACACCCTGGAAGCTTTGCCTTTGATTCTATACTTTCCTTTCTTTTTCATGATATTTGCAAAATGGCACGACATTGATTTGTGACATATTCATCTCCGGAGATATGAGGAGCGACGTCGAGGGAAATGTCATTCATACAACTCAGGAAATCCCATTTGGACCAGAGCATCGATGCATCCCGCCCGCACATATAACACCAATCATCTGTCATTCTCTGTGTGTGTGTGTGTGTGTGTGTGTGTGTGTGTGTGTGTGTGTGTGTGTGTGTGTGTGTGTGTTGTGTGTGTGTGTGTGCATTTTTTGTAGAAAAAGCATGGTATTTTCTACAAATAATTAAAGCACAGATTCATTCCCCGAATCCTTCTTTCTTGTTGATCGACTGTTTAAAAGAAAAAGCCTCGACATGCGACAAAAATGTTTGACGTTTTGTTCAAATGTGTGTGTGTGTGTGTGTGTGTATTGTAAGATGTCAGCGAGCTACTTGAGCTTGCATATCAATTCATAAACCCCTCCAATGCAGCGATCCCCTTTAAAACGTTGTTGGAAGGATCTAACTAATGTTGGCGGTTTTAAAAAGCAGCGAATCTGGAGGACATTGAGGAGGTTTTGGAAAAAGACAGCGACAACTCAGGGGGAAGCCATAGCTGTGCCTTTCACTCATTCGTCACCTTTGACCTCCCAAGTTGTCCATCATCACATCCTCCACGCTGGCAGTCACTTCTTTCCTCCCTTTTTCAAATTCTGTTTTTCGAGGCGCTAACTCTCCGCTGGGTGTGTTTTCCCCTCTCGCTATAGCTGGAGGTTACAGCGGACCATATTTGCGTCACTGTCCTTTCGCTTGACATTAAAAAGCCGAGCGATGCTGCTTTGTCCTGGCGTTGTGATGAGAGCGTGCCATTGTTCGACCCCCACATCCCCCTCCGTTTGCTCTGTCCACCACAGTGCATTCGCTCTCTCTAAATGTCCTCCATTCTGTCCTCGAGCAGTGCGTGTGTGTGTGTGTGTGTGGCCTAGCATTACTATACTTGTGGGGACCTAAATCTGTTTACACAGTCACGTGTGGGGACTCGCCTCCCTTATGGGGACAAATTGGAGGTCCCCATAAGGGGAATCATTAATTTTAGGGTGAAGACTTGGTTAGGGTTAGGGTTAGGGTTAGGCATGTGTTGGTTATGGTTACGGTTAGCATAAGTCTCCAGGAAATGCATGTAAGTCAATGTAATGTCCCCTGAAGTGATGTATACATGGTATGTGTGTGTGTGTGTTGAGCTATGTGTGTGTGGGAGAGAGGACGGGCACCTTGGTGTGTGTTCATTCACACAGCTGTCTCTCACATTGACATATGTGCTTCTTTGTTGATTATTGTTCTGAGTTGCACCAAAATGACATTGAAATATGAAACCAGCAGCAGCCTGGAAGCTTCTGGTTTGTCGTCTTTTCATTGTGTTTAAAACCTTTTGTTCCGCACAGTTGCTGATGAAGTGAAGGCTTCACAGATATGAGGATTGTTTCTGACGTCTGTGATATTTATTGACTCATGCCTTTTCATACAAAAGTCTAAAAGAAAACGTTAATGGGAAACAGACATGTGTAATTATTCATGGGTTGCGTTGTGCCGCTCACAAACTCTTGCTTTCCCCCTGGCTGCACACAAACAGGGCATTTTCTTTTCTACACAATCAAATAAGATGTAAACGAAAAAAAAAGAAAAGACATTTGATACTTCCCTACTGCTGAAGACCATCTATCTAGCGTTACCTTTACCCCAAATCCAATCCCAACCTTAAATCCGACCTAATCCCGTCTGTGTACCCTGTTCCATTTGTTCACTCTTCTATCCTTGCGAGTTCATTTTGTCCACACACACACACACACACACACACACACACACGTCACACACACACACAGCCTGATGAATGTCTCCCCTCTCCATCCTTCTGTCTCCATCCTGTCATTTTCCTGCCCCTCATCCTCCTCTCTCTCTCTCTCTCTCTCTCTCTCTCCCACCTCCATCATTCACCACAGGGGGCTCATTGCGTAACTAAGAGGACGTCAGAGTGCTACCTTTGCAGACAGGCAATTAGCCCACGATTACAAAACCGCCTGACGAACAGGAGATGTCTATCGCTCCTGTCTGTCTTTTCATTTCACCCTTGAGTCTTTTCCCCCTTCACTCCATCTGCACCCTCCCTTCCTCTTCTCTCTCTCCTCCTCCTCCTCCTCCTCCTCCTCCTCCTCCTCCTCCTCCTCCTCCTCCTCCTCCTCCTCCTCCTCCTCCTCCTCCTCCTCCTCCTCCTCCTCCTCCTCCTCCTCCACATCTTTTGTTAGTTGTCCCAGAAAACTCAGATCAAGGGAAGTGTTTCTCGCTCTCGTTTTCTTTTGGGAGCTGATTGATATTTGGTAAACCAATAACAGAGGAACAACCAGCTGTCCTTGTGGGAGACGGATGTGTTTCTTTCTGTACAAGTGTGTGTGTCTCTGGGCAGTGAAGTTTCTTGCTTCAGGCAAGCGTTGACATGGATACTTATCAGAGAGAAGTGCTCCAGATTCTGTGTGTGTGTGTGTGTGTGATAGTGGTGGGATAACCCAACACTATAAAAAGATACCGACGCATCTGTTGGACAGTGTGAAGGCAGGAGGACGGATGAATATTCAGCGGGTGGTGTGCCCCTGTTACCATATAGCCTACTTACCATCTGAGAACAAAGCCTCTCCACCGGCCCCCAGCGGTGAATATTAAAACCTGTGAACAAAACTGAGACTGTGAAAACTGCTGTAGGACCTGAGTGTAATCTTCACAGAGAGACACGTTTAACCCACATTAGCCTCCAACGTTTTAATTAAAACGTCCCACAATCCTCCGGGGCAGTTCTGGTGCACCGTATAAATAGGATATGAGTAGAATGGACTTTTCCTTTTGAAATCAACACAGCAGGATGGACAAAGCAGTGGACATTTGTATGTGTAGCTTTGCCATTGCAACAGGCTACTTCTGTATAAACCGACTAGTGGCAAGTTGCAACCTCTCTAAAGGAATGTTAATTTTAAAAGTAAAGAAAGCTGGATTAATAAGTAAACGTTGCTAATATCCTCCAGCCCCACAGCGTAGGAAAGCACAGAGCTTTAGCAAGATGAGTATTTTTCGGCCTAACCAGATTGGCATTAAAAATGTTTTGAATTAACAAGCTAGCTAAATACCTAGCGGATAGCTGGCTAGTTAGCTAGCTAGCTTAGAATATTCCTGCTGTTGCATCATTGCATGGTCGAATGAGCAAGCTAACTAGCTAACTTGCGTACAGCTGGCTAGTTATCTAGAGAGCTAATACCGTCATACTTCAGCCATAGCTGGTTTTAAAGAATTTACTACATCCCCATTTTTGTTTGGTTTTGTTTAAATGTCAATAAAAAAACAGTTGAATGTCTGTTTTGCTCCTTTTCTATTTATATCGGTGCACACGTACATGTACACATACAGTAGTATGCACACAGTAGGCCACACACACACACACACACACACACACACACACACACACACACACACACACACACACACACACACACACACACACCACACACACGAGGCTAGTGAAGGTTCAGAGAGCAAAGCCATACAACTCAGCAGAGACACTATGAACTGACAGGGTATGAGGAATACTGAAGACCCGAAAAAATAAATGTACTGTCCCATCCATCCTAAGTGGGTTCCATATCACCATCATCAGTCACACACACACACACACACACACACACACACACACACACACACACACACACACACACACACACACACACACACACACACACACACACACACACACACACACACACACACCACACACACCACACACACACACACTCGACCGTCTCCTCCCGCTGAAATCACAATCCTGTCTTTTTCAGTTTTCTCTTTTTAATGCTTTTTCTTCCTCTTTTGACTGAATGTAATTATTTGAATATTGCCACCTTGGATTTGAACAATGAATCTTTGTTTGCTGCATCTGATATTATTTCAAATTAATAAAATATTGTTATTGTTCTTTGCAAAAAATACAGAAACTGGTATGATGTGATTTTTTTGGAAACAGCCCCGTTCACGCTACACAACAAGAACAAATACTTTCCTATGAGAACAACAATTATAACTTTATTGATAGGATCTGTTACAAAGTGCACACAATACAAACCAGAATTTAATATTAACAAGATATACTAATGTATCACAAATGCGTAATGTCTTATATCTGGCTATAAAAGATGAAGGTGATTGACTAATTAGTTTGAAACCATCAGGTAAAACAGGCATTTGATAAAATAAAATGAAAGCATGTATTATAAGTCAAGCGTAGCTAATAACGCATTCCTACTTTAGCACTCAAGTACTTCAACCATGCACAATATTGCTGAGAAGCTGCAGAATAAGCTTTGTGAACGATATCCATTAAGCTTTTATTTACTAAAGCGAAAGGAAAAGAGGTAAAGATGATAAGTGCAGTGAAGTCCATTAATGCAACGTGTTATGGTTATGATTAGATAATGAACACATTCACCTCTTTCAAAGCCATTTACTAGCAGACATCCACTGGGGTACACACACCATAAAGCCTTCTGCAATTAGCGCCCTCACACGACTACATCATCATTACTATGTTATTAGCAGGGCAGAGAACAAGCAGTCAGACAGACCGCACAAAGTCTCAGTGATCCGTCCTGCAGCAGTAAGTATTTCATTTTTCCATGACATCATGGGCCCCCGGGGAGATTACTAAATCCATTTGGTGCATCGGCGGAGGGAGGAGGAGGAGGGAAATATAAGAGCAGGATGTGATGGATTTCTAATAGAGCCTTGTGTGTGGGGGATACTCTGGTTGTGTTGGAACGAAATCAGATCCGCGTGGAAAGGGTTTCTCTAAAATGTGAAGTTGGAGATTAAACACCAACCCAAATCCTGATGTAAACTAAAAGAGTCAAATGTAGGTCTAGAGAACCATATGTTGTTGATGGACTTGAGATAAGATACGTCTACTTCAGTTGTCAGATCAAGTCTAAAATGTTCCTTGCATCACTGCAGCTCCGAACTTCAAAACAAGGACAAATATTAACCCTTCTATTGTCTTCGTTTCCCCCTTACTTTGGTGTTCGCGGTCAAATTTGACCGGTCCTGTTTTAACTGCTATTACATTAACACAAAAGCCATTAATCATCACCACATTTCATTTAACACCCTTTCAAACTGTACATATTGTATCAGGCTACTGGTATACATGAAGAACTGCAGTAAATATACAAAGAATAGACACTGACATGTATTGCGTGTGCCAGGTGTGATCCATGTGGGGGGAGGGGCACATAAGAGCGGGAAATGTGTCAAATTGTACTGTGTGTGCGTGTGTGCGTGCGTGTGTGTGTTAGTGTGTGTGCCAGGTGTGATTCACATGGGGGGATGGGCACATAAGGGGGGGAACACATCTAGAGTGTGTGTGTGTGTGTGTGTGTGGTGTGTGTCTGTGTGTGTGTGTGTGTGTGTGTGTGTGTGTGGTGTGTGTGTGTGTGTGTGTGTGTGTGTGTTTGTGTGTTTGTGTGTGTGTTTTATCTGATCCGGATGGTTACTAATTCCTTTTCTTTATGGCGCTCATGTTTGACCTGGAACACCATGGTGTTACAAAGTTGACAAAATCATCCAAATTTCAATGAAAGTGGTGATCAGCAATTTTCTATGTTCAAATGTCTTACTGTGAAGGATATCATAAAGCCTTAATGCAATCGAATGTAAAACTTATGATTGATGAACGTAGTAAATCGGTCAGATTTGACCCGAAGACAACAGGAAGGTTAATGTGATGATAAAGTACATTTACCACAACATTACAATAACTAAGACAACATGTTCAAGACCCTTTAACGTACATTTTACTTTAACTGTGTATTTAATTTCAGAGTTGACTGGTGCACAAAAGAGTGCTTCAGTCTAACTTTATTAAATCGTGGGACCCTGTATCTCCCATTTGATGGTAACAATTCATATTCACTGTTCAGGACATGGTTGGGGGATATAATCATGTTCTGAAAAAGGGCCTTTTTCTGTATTAAATTTCATTTTCAGATCAGCAACCTCCAGTGTGTAACAGTTACATTTGGCAAAGAAAAACATACTTATTCCATACATCAATGTGTTGAATACCAACACAGTGTTGTAATGATTCTCATATAAATCTCAACATGTTGTCTATCATTCACGTTATATTTCTAATATGTTCATGGATTGTAAACTAACTTAAAAATCCTCCCCGACTTTCCGCTGCCCCACAGCGCCATTAGCGTGAAGCTTCATGTCGAAAAAAAAACTGCCTTGAGCTAGCTATTTTATCCAGTCTTTTGGAAATGATTTGGTTGATGAATAGGCTATAGCTCGCCTTTTCCA